AGAGAGACAAAGAGAGAGAAGAGAGAGAGAGGAGAGAGAGAGAGAAAAGAGAGAGGAGAAGAGAGAGAGGAAGAGAGAGAGTGTGTGTCGAGAGAGAGAGAGAGAGAGAAGAGAGAGAAGAGAGAGAGAGACGAGAGAGAGAGAGACGAGAGAGAGAGAGAGAGAGAGAGAGAGAGAGTGAGAGAGAGATGTGTGGTGTGTGTGGAGACAGAAGAGAAGAGAGAGGAGGAGAGAGAGAGAGAGGAGAGAGAGAGAGAAGGAGAGAGAAGAGAGAGAGAGAGAGAGGAGAGAGAGAGAGAAAAAAAAGGGGGAGAGAGGAAAAGGAAAAGAGAGAGAGGGGGGAAAAGGAGAGAGAGAGGAGAGAGAGAGAGAAAGAGGAAAAGGAGAGAGAGAGAGAGAGAGAGGAGAGAGAGAGAAGAGAGACGAGAGAGAGAGAGAGAGAGAGAGAGAGAGAGAGAGAGAGAGAGAGAGAGAGAGAGAAGAGAGAGAGAGAGAGAGACGGAAAATCAAAAGCAAAAAAATAGATATGAAACAATCAATTTTCCAAAAAAAAGAAAAAAATAATATACTATCTGGCAACATTCTTCCCAAACACTGGAGCAGCTGTCCTTTCCTGTTAGTTTCCAATGGCTATATGAATATCTAAATATATTCAAAGAAATTTTATTTTTTAAAGGAATATCTTTATTCCCAGAATTTGGAATATTTCTATACATATGATGAAATATGTATATGTTTAGTTTGGTTCTCCATCTTTATCAAAATAATGACCTAGAAAAGAAATTAAGGAAACTATCCTTTTGGTACCATAATCCTATAGTTTTAAATATTTTATGATTATTTAAAAATTACAGTTGTTGAATCAAAAATGTATAGTTTATTTGTAATATACTTGTTCCTATGATTACAAAGCAACCAATGTATCCAAGAAACGTAATTAAAATACATTATTTTATTATAAAAGTGAAAGAAATGATTTTGGCGTCTCTTTCCCGCCATTCAATATCTAGTTTCACTGACTTTTGGATTGTTTATTTTTATTTTATTAATTCTTTGTTTTATCTTTGTGAATATTTCTGTACTTTTGGTTTATTTTAGTCGGATACTTATGTGCATGTAAAGGTATATACATTGATGTTTGCTGTATGAGAAAATAATGTTTGTTTTATTGACTTTGTAGCTAAGTATTTTATATGCGTTGGATAGTGTTTGTGAACGAAGAGGAACGTTAAATATCGTTCACCCTGCAACCGGTAAGAGCAGCTGAGGGAGAGAGAGAGAGAGTTATAATGTTGCCATCTCAGCGTCATTTTTCCTCTTAAGCATTTCTCGTTTTTAAGCAAATGTACTGAAGCAAATTTAAACAATAAATCATAAATATACCACATGGAATCAGTTTGTGGTCTCCCTATCATTGAAAAATAACAATAACGACAAAAAGGAATAATCATATCTAAAATAAATAGGAAACTGGCAACATGTAAGGACAGATGCTGTCTCCTTTTGCTCATTCATACTTCAGTGGTAAAGGAAACGCTTGGGAGTACGGTTGCGTTTCGCAATCGCTCTTCCCCTTAAAGAAAGAAAATCTGAAAAAAGGAACAATTCGATAAATTCTATTCCTTTTAGTGTGTGTTGTTCTAGTCAGTACTTTTAAGTAGAAAACGTGAGTATACAGTTAAACTGAAAATCAATATTTATTATTCATTCCCTGCCTATTCCTCTCTTCGTCATTCTCGTTTATCGCAGTTCAGCTCACCCTTTCGTTTATTTTTTTTTAGTATTGTTGTAGTATTGCATTTATTCGATTTCATTATTCCTGTATTATTAATAATATTATTATTTTAGTTCTTGACTGTCATTTAGTTTAAACTTGTAAATATTATTATCAGTATCATTATTATTATTATTATTGTTATTATTATTATTAATTATTTAATTATTATTATTATTATTATTTTATTATTATATTATTATTATTATATTTTATTATTATTTATATTATCATCATCATTATTATTGCATTATTCTAATATTGTTATTTTCTTTGGTAGTAGTAGCCACTAGTAGTAGTAGTAGTAGTAGTAATAGTAATTATTGTTATGATTATTGTCACTATTGTTATTATTATTGTTATTTGTGGTAATTTTACAGAATAGAGCCATATGCCGGATTGTAAAAGTACCTTATTTATTCTTTGGTTTTGATATAGATGTGATTATAATATATATTTTTTTACTATTATTGTTATTATTATTATTTATTGTTATTATTTTTCTATTATTATTATTATTATTATTATTATTATGTTTATTATATTATTTTTTAAAAATATTCCTTGTTATCACTTTATTATTGTCACGTCACTATTATCATTATTATTACTATTTTTATTATTATTATCATTGTCATTATTATTATTATTATATATACATTTTTTATTAATATTATTATTGCTATTATTATTATCATGGGCATTATTTTTATTTTACTTATTATTACTATTATTTTGATTGTTACTATAACTACTGTTATTACTGTATTCATTTCTTCTTTATCATTATTTATTTATTCAATATTTTTATTATTACTATTATTATTGTTGTTGTAAATGTTATTTTTCTTCTTATTATTAATGTTATTGCTGTTATTATTATTATTATTATTAATGTTATTATTATTATTATTATTATTGTTATTGTTGTTGTTATTATTTTTGTTATTATTATTATTTTTTAATTATTATCAGCTTTTATTTTTTATATTGTTATTATTATTATTATTATTATTATTATTATATTAAAATATTATTAATGATGTTGGTGTTGTTAGTATTCATATCCCTACTTTTCCTCAACCTTTTTGCTTTATAGTTATTATTATGTTTTCCTCGTCCTGTCATTAGTCTGTTATATTTTATCTAATTATCAGTTATTTATGTTTTTAGTACCAATTATCATTATTGATAAGTATCATTTTCATTATCAGTCATCCAGAATATTGATGATTAGATATTACGAATGCCATTACTAGAGTTAGCTTTCATTAGCTTTATTATTAACTTCATTTTTGTTGATCTAATGTTCTTATTTCTCAATATCAGTTACTATTATCAATTATTATTGTCATTTCAGAATGCCTGTTCCATTAGGCCCTTCTAGTCACCGTCCCTCCTCCCCCCACACGACC